GAAGCACTAGTGCTAACCACCAATTAATTACATTAGCACCGTATATTAAAATAGTGGGATTAGCCTGCAGTTTACAGGATTTAATCTTTAAAATATCATCTTTTAAACATAGCCCACATGTTGAAAAATCTTTTTTGCTAACCATATCCCACTTACACCCTTCTTAGTTCAATCACTTAGCAAAAAAACATTACACCAACTGCTCCAGCTTATTGATGTCATTTTCTCAATTGTCATACACTGTAAACTTTTTGACAAGGATCTCCTATGTACTACTGACAATACCACTCGGGTGAAAAGGAAGCAAATCGGTTTCTGTAAACATATAGTCAGTTTGAATAAACTTCCACTGCAGTTTCTAACGGATTCCTAAAAGTTTGTACCCCGAAGCCTACTTAAGTACTTTCATTACGTGCTGTTCATCACTGCACATTCCGAAAGTCACCGAATTGCAACGCCCAACACCAGCTCTCCTTTTTAAAACCTACTCAACTCTGAAGCTCGACAGAATGAGCAGTAAACTTGCAAAATGTTCTGTCCCTGTCATCGTTACACCAAAGATCTATCGGACATTTGTCAGTATCATCGTTGCTCTTTTGTCTCACTGTTGACTGCAGACAATGATGCTCACTAGAAGGATAAACGTAAAACAATCGGCAACACTGCTCTCTCGTCTGCAGCATTCTGCTGTTTTCAGTCTGACAGCATTTCCGATATGAACATGCAAGCAGAAACACAGCAGTGCTCCCTCGTAAATATCCGCAGGCTGTCGGCAAACGTAAACCGGTGAGGCAGCTGATAAAGAAACAAAAACGCACACATTCGCTCATAATGCTGAACGCGTCAGTTTTTCGCGCAGTGTGAGACCATTCACATAATGCACGATCAGCACTGCTAAATCAGTATCGAGGGCTCATCAATGGGTCACACCTACCTGCACACTGAGGTGAAATATCTGTAGCTGAGTACAGTCTCTCGTAATGTTCTGGGTCATAATGGGGAAACAACTAACCGACGGGCACGTTGTAATAAGCTTTTTGCTGACCAACTCGAACCCCGTCAATGATAATTACTCCGGGAACGAAAAAGATACCAGTACCTTGTACTCTTGTGCTCGGGCTCCTGGGACTCATCTGTGATCACCTGAGGTCTATTCAACCTCCTGTACCGCAAACCATCGGTCTCATTCATCCTGAAATGCTAGCGTGTCCTATTGTCGATGTTCCCAATTCCGGTCTTCGCCGCAGTGTCGATTTACAAAGACATCACTTGAACAATCTCCCAGTCCTAAAACCCTGCCGTTGCCCTGCTGCACCTATGCGCTGTTTTGCAAGAATGAAAACAGGCCCAGCTCACGACCTTTAACCTCTCGAGAACCGCTGGGAGCTGATTGGCTGTCATTCATGACGCAATTCACTCCTTTTCAGAATAAAAGCACGAAGCCTATTCTTTGCTGAAAATACTTTTTTTTTTACCACTGTATTTTGTGAAATGTTGCTGTGTTATACAATCCGTTCTGATTAGTGATTATGATAAGTCTTAGCTTAGAAATAATAATAAAAATGGGACATTGTGCAACTAGAAAATTAAATTCACTGGAATGCATAGAAAATACGATCATTCTTAACAGAATCCCTTATCATAAGTAAACACAATGTACAGTATGTGAATTTTACTTGTCCTTTCACCACACATACATTATCTTTACAGGAGAAATGGTGCACTATATGTTCTACTGTATACTGTATATAAGAAGATACTAAATATGGGACAACTTGGACCATTTGTACCGATACAGTACGTGAAAAAACGGGGCAACGGTACCAGGTTTGTGCATTTTGATAAGTTCTGAAGGGCAAGGAACAGGCTGCACACTCATCCGTGACCATGCAAGGAGAAGCAGAGATACAGTAGCACCAGGGAGCCTCGCTGACAGGACTGTGGATGTACTGTAAGCATCCTTTAAGTTAGCATTATTAAGAGTGACTGGAGCAGCTGACTATGGGTGGGAATATGGATTTTGCACTCTACCAGGTAAGCTTGCAGTGTCTCAAGTGGAAGACTGAGCAGAATGAGCTGTTCTCCTCACCAGAGTTAAGTTCAATAAAAGCCCAAGTGGACAACTCAAGGGTTCAAAGGTCAGCTAATCTCCTTGTTACAACATAATGACAAACCATATTGTAATGAAGGTTGCTCTGTACATTTATTTATTAAATTTATTCATGTAAGTAAATACAAAGGATGGCGCTTGGACTTGAGGGTCCGAATACCTTATTTGAGGAACATCTCTGAAACAATTCATGATCGTTTCATATATTAATTTTGTATTTTCATCTGATTTGTGGCTGTGCAATTCTTAGTATATTTTGTCTGTGAATCTGGGACAAAAGGTTAATTTTACTGCAATATCTCTGGAGGTGATATTGCTAAAACACTGAATATCCCTCACTATTACTGCCTAAATTATTTTTAGAACAGAAACATCTGAGCTTACATTGTTTCCAACAGTCATCTATTTTGTAAATTCTCAAGTCTTTTGGTCACTGTGTGCTGCAGTAAACATCTGTCCATCCACTTACTAAGGAAGATATGGCATTCTGTCATGAAGATATACAGTACCTGGGGTGTCTGCAGGATCTGTGGGGCTGAGGACCCCAGAGATGCACATTGGTTCAGTAACACTGTGTTCAAAGACATGTGGCCACTAGGGGGTCTCCGTTATACTGTTTCTGTCACATCAGTTTCAATAAGCACTTATCCATTTCAGGGTCACGGCTGCCCGGAGTCTGTCCCAGGAGTTGTTACAGCCTGAGCGAGACACCAGTCCATCACAGGGCACACACTCACAGACACAACCATGCACACACTCACACCAGGGCCTGTTTTCCCAGAAACCAATTAAACTACCAGCATGTCTTTGGACTGTGGGAGAAAACCGGAGCACCCAGAGGAAACCCATGCAAATGGGGAGAACATACAAACTCTGCACAGACAGCACCCCTGGAACTGAACCTAAGGCCCCAGCGTTGTGAGGCAGCAATGTTTACCACTTCATCACCATGTCGCCCCGACACTGTTTACAGTCTGTATTATTTAGGACGGCTTAATAAAAGACATTTTTTTTTTAATAATGCTTTTTATTGACTTCCAAAACACTTAATGTCTTCTGCGTTCAACTACATAATCACAATCATTATACAGATAACATGCTGCCTCTATTAAGGCTGTGTCTAAGATACAGATATTTCTGTATGACATAAGTGTGGTCATCTCTTCACCAGATTTTAACTCAAATTAAAGTTGATTTTTTAAAATTACCCAGCAATCTCCTTGATTGGATTTCAGGATAAGCTTCACGACGCTGACACAGATTATAATAGACATGAATGGGAACTGGAGGAAACCTGCCGATTAAGTGACTGTGTAATGTCAGTGAATTATTGATTTGGACAAATGTGGTACTACTGCACTTATCAGCCAATGGTGTCAAATCACTAGCTGATTAGTGCACAAAACCATTGTCTAATGAGATACGTTATTCAATATAAGGTTTTAAAGGAAAGTGTCCGTAGACATCTGTATCTGACACAGCCTTACCCTGTATTATGCAGTCCCGAACATTGTGAGCAGTCTGGTTTGCAGTTGTAACAGAAAGGAGACAGTACATTAGACATGTATACTACACAGTATCCTTAACTGTGAAAACATTGTTTTGACCACACTAATAACAATATTCCAGTCGTTATGACTAGACAGTAGGGTATGTAATAATTGAAGCATTCACAGGTATGGATGAACATTCAGAGTCATGTTACAAGATGTGACATTACAGTCAATGCTGAACAGAATACAGGACAATCGTGTAAACATGTTCTGATTGAAATGGAACAGGATGTGGTAACAACAACAATAAAGTACACAAATCAGAAGAGTGGTTACTGTGTTTTTACATTCCTTCACTTATCATTATTAACCAGAGACAACTCTTAGGATTCTAGAATTAAATTTAATCATATTTAACCGCTATCAGGCCTCCATTCAAATTGGTTGAAGTGGAGCACTGGATTTGGTAATAGATGAAAACTGGATTTAGTAATAGATGATTCTAATAACTGCAGCTGACTGATCTTTGATTAAAAACAGACCTGCTTAAATCATACAGTAAATAATGCACTGTAAAAATGCATCTTGTTTTTGAGGATGATGAAGCTGTATTAGAATGCATACATGTTTATAATGGCTTTAAATTTTTCTTTAAATAAAATGTTTAAAGTTCATTGTTTAATTGACTACACAGGTTGAAACAAAACCCTGAAGGCACAAGGTCCTCCAGGAATGGAGTCAGACAGCTCTGCATTATACAAAAGTGTGGCGGTATTGAGCCACTCATGTCACCTGCTTCCATAATTAGAGCAGTGCAGTCCCCAGAACAGGGCTGTTCCTGTCCTAGACTTCAAACATACAATGCCATTCTTCAATACTAAGTACAGTAGCAAACTGGGACAGTGGATTTGATGTAAAAAAAGTTTATATTCAAAATAAAAACAGCTGCGAGTGATTTCCCTTTTTTTTTTGTGCGCTCGTCTACAGATCAAACATAAGTCGAAGGTAATTCTACACAAAAAAGAAAAAAAGGTGACCAAGCCTTTCGGCCCTAAACCCCAGAAAGCTATAATTGCACTCATTCTCCTCATTATTGAATTACTGTAAACTGCCACTTGCACCTCTTCCGTTCTGTTTGATCTGTAGACCAGGTTTCAAAAACCGGGAAAAATCACAGAAGAGTCTAGTTATTATTGTATAGTCCTAATTCACTGGTGCCACATATCAGTATTAGTTTCATTAGTGATTACTCTAATTAGTTTAGATAGTATTATGACTATTATAAATGAATAACTGTGACAATGAAGTACTGTACCTGAGATATTCTGGTGTAATTCCTTTAGTATTCAGATCAAATTCTGATTAATCTGTATTTTTTTTAAAGAGCTGCCCTTTTCTACTTGTTTAACAAGTACAGTAGCTATCTCATACTACTGTCCCTTGTGTAACAATTGACCATTCACAGTGTATTAGCGAAGTTCACTTGAGGTTTCTGACAAAAATGAACCGCATTCCTGTTTTATAATGAACATTTCAGGACCAAAAAAATAAATAAAAAGCATATAATTTTATTTCAGGGAAGCACATTACTAATGAATAAGTAAAATGTTTAGTTTTGTATACTTAAATTTGATCAATTGACCTGTAGAGGTATACAGTAATACCAGATATGAAGTTAGGATACTGTTAAGATTTTCAGTCAGTATGAAGTATAGAAACTGGGAAATAAATCAGATCAAATTACTGATAAATCTGATATCAAAAAATTACATTATCAATAATTCGATTTCATTCCTTTTCCTTATAATATTACTGGACTGTTACATTTTATTTTAATCTCAACATAAGTGATAGTAAGTAGGTTTGACTGATTGTTCTTTACATATTTATAAGTCCATGTCTAAATATGTTTAGATTTACATTTTATATAATGTGCTGTATTCTTATAGGTGTATGTCTGTAACACAGTATACTGTATATACAGAATATTATATATACAGTATATACTGTATATAATCTGTCAGAGACACAAGTATTATTATTATTCATTATTTAAATGATATTTCATTATCATTATACACAAATAATAATTTTATTTTATTGTTATACTATATTTTATTCATATTTAAGGTTGCTTTGACATTAATCTAGGGTAGAAATGCAGATACAGAAACTGGGTTTTGACAGGTGAGCCCATACTTACAGCTGCAGTTCCACAGTCTCTTTAATGACTAAGTCCTGTCTTTGGCCAGGGAAACACTGCCAGTACTGTTTGCTGAGGGACATGCTGGTATGACCAAGAGGCAGCTGTCTGCTTTCAGCTCCCCTAAGAGCCCGGGCTCTTGTGTCGAGTGAGAGTCTCCACGATTTCTGCGATCACACTCGGGTCATCCAGCGTTGTCACATCCCCCAGGTCGCTGGTCTGACGGAGAGCTATTTTCCTCAGCACTCTTCTCATGATCTTGCCAGATCGAGTCTTGGGCAGCCGTTTGACAATCTAAAAATTGATTGAGCAGAAAAAAGATCCAATCAAAAACACTACTTTAGGGGAAATGGATATTACTTTTGCAAACAGAACCTCTCTCTTTTTTATGTGCCAGTTTGGTGACAAATGTACACTTTGATAGTATGCATACATATTTCTACGACGCTGGTAATGGTTTCCAAAGAATTGACTCAGGAGGGTGAATGCAATCAACATATTAAGAACATGTTCAGGTGGGGAGCTGCATTACGCTATTATTAAATACATAAGTGCATAACTCTGCACCATCAGGGAAAGCTGTACAGTTCTGTTCATCACTGTATATTTCATACAAGACTTGTTCTTACCAGAAAGTCATCAGGAACAGCATACTTGGCGATTTTTGAAGCAACCAAGGCCTTCAGTTCTTCAATGACCACAGCCTGACTGAGGGAAATGTCCTTTAACACCACAAAGGCAAAGGCAGCTGGAGAAACAAAAACAGCAAAACGTCATTCTAGCAGTTCTTCTCACAAAAAAGCAAGATCACACAGTAAGAGACTATATCAGGGCAGACTGTTAGTACAGTTTCAGCAGGACGACAGATATACTGTAATATCATAGCCGCCTGCAGAATAAGACTGCGAATTTAGAATAAGACTTAGGCTATATTTTACCAATACTAACAAGGTCACTTGTGAGTGCACATTTCTGGCACCAGTAGCAGATTTGCGTGTGCAATTGTTACAGTAAAGTCTCTACAAGTCTCTGTTCAGTCCTTCGTAGCTAAACTTCTCAAACGACAGTTTTTTGTCCTGTTGTGAAAATCCAGTTGTGAAACCAGTTGTTCTGCAGCCAGTTAGTTAACACGCATATAAAACATACGACACTGGTGCCGATGAAACAGAGCTGCTTCTGTAGTTGCTGGGTGGACATGTAAGTACTTATTGAAAATGTAACCACCCCTGCCGTTTCTGTCTTCCAGCCAGGAGGGTGCTACAAGAACCAAGATAAGAGTTTCCTTTGGCCTCCTTCTAAAATACTTCTGCCATGCATGATAAGTCCTTTGGTTATCTTGTTGTCTGCTTGTGATATGTGCTATAAGGAACCCATGTGCCGGAGACATCATTAGTTAAATATTAAATACAACAATCGCTTTTATTGCCACAAGTGCACTGACTGGCTATGCTAACAACTGGAGCTCCTGTGGTGCCAAGGTCACGGCAATGTGGGCAGGACATCTGCACCACACAAGCCCAAGGAAAGAACACATATGTCTGTCTAAGCCTCAGTGTGAGTGGCCCTACTCTGAGTCAGTAAGAATGTAGTAGTAGTTAAACTAGTTAACGCCGTCATACGTTCTCAGCTAAACCAGTAAGTAGAAATAGGTAGCCAAGCTAGAATTAAATCCCACAGTCCTCTAGCACCTGAATTGGACACAGATACAGCTTTACTTCAACAAAAAATAAGTCAAAGCATTATCATACAGTGTTTCACAATGCACCATCAAATGATACATTTTTAGAACTTTTCTCTGCTAAGAACAGATAAGACTGTCTTGAGAATTTTTGTCACTTATTGTCACTTTTGAGGGAAGATGTTGCATGAAGATAGCAGGATTCAAAAATGCCTTTAATTCCATATTTATTTTGGCCACACCTGGCCGTTTGTACACCTACCTTCCCCTTTAATGTCATGAGGAATTCCCACCACAGCCGTTTCTGGAACTTCGGGATGCTCATCCTGAAAATCAGTATCGCTGTTAAAATTTACATTCCTGACATCTCAAGCGTTTTGGAAGATATGGAAAACAAATGCTTACGGTGGTGCACAGCACAATTATTCACAAAGTTTTTTTTAAAAAAGATACATCTCTGACAAAAACAATATTTCTTGCCAAGGCTTTTTGACCAGCCGAGGCAGAGTGTCTTTTTAAAGATCAGAGAGGATTTACAGATGATCATAATTTTACCGAAGTCAAGAGACCAAAGCAAAAGCAAACATTGCCTCTTGCGAGCACCACTGTGTGCATGTGTCTTAAATATTAATATATTTAAGCATGGCACAATTAATGAAACAGAGACTGTTAAGCAATGAGTGGTCCTTTACCCAGAAAAGCTGAAAACCCTGATCTCACAAAAGGCACAAATGACCTATATACAGATGAGTTATATACAGTACAGGCGGCACAGTCGTGCAATGATTAGTATTGCTGCCTCGCAGTGCTGGGGCCTTGGGCTTAATTCCAGACCTAGGACACTGTCTGTGTGGTTAGAAAATGCAAGGATAGTTTATACACTAGTACGCAGTGACCTCCAAAATACATAACTTCACCATCTTGGCGCCTTATTCTTTAACACTTCTGCAGTCTTCTTCATGCTGGTGGGACAGAGACAACACGAAGTCTCCCCAGGCTCACCAATGCGTCCTCAATCTCTGCGGTGCCGAGACGGTGGCCACTGATATTGATGACATCATCCATGCGCCCTGTAATCTGGTAGTAGCCTTCTTTGGACCGGTATGCCCCATCTCCAGTAAAATAATGGCCTGCAACACAAATGGGCAAGAGAGAAAGACAAAATATCTGTCTGAACAGGCAAGAACACTTAGTGACCTAATGGGAAATGGATTTAAGGTTGACCAACCTGGATACGGTTTGAAATAAGCGTCTACAAATCTCTGGTGATCTCCATAAATGGTCCGTGCCAGACCAGGCCATGGCTGAACAATGCAGAGTGCACCAGAGACATCATTCCCAGTCAGAGTCTGCCCCTACAGGAGGATACAAAGGAAAAACCTATAAGCATTTTTCATGAAAAATATTTCCCATTTCCTAATACCACATAAGAAATATGGCTTCTTCCCACATTTAGATGTAAAGCAAACAGGAGAAGTCAGAAGACACAAACTCCAATAATCTAAAAGACTCATTAATGGTACAGTATGTTTGGCTTTAACCTGTTTATGACAAGAGATGACTTTACATGTTTACATGATCAACCAAAGCTGGCAAAAGCTCAGTCAAGCCTGTTAAGCTGCTATATCCCAGCCTGTTTTAATTGTGCCATTAAAGAGGTCAGGATTCTCTGCCCTGTCTGACCCTGGAGTCAGTCCCTCCGACCCCTCGGTGTGACAACTGAAAAGCGCGTCTGTCAAGAGACAGTGGGATTAGAGTGGATTTGTCTAATGACCTGGGCGCAAGATTGTTATTGTGGGACTACAAGGAAAATCAGTAGAGATTCCAGCGTGGCTGAAGCCTCTATTTCTGGGACAAGCCAGTGTTGGGAATTAAGTGAGACGCAGCTTCTGCGGTTTCATATTAATCCACAGCTCCACAATGCCGTGTTTAATTCAGGACGTCTCCTTTTACACACAATAGTTTTGAAAGAAGAACATGAAAACTGGGAGAACTGAAGAGCTTTTCATTATCTTTCTTGGAATGAACATCTAGGCAGGCTGGTAAGATCACACTAAATCAAACCTGCAAAGACGAGCAGTTTGTTTGCTCTGAGCTTAAATACTCCTGATTCACAACAGGGTAAAGACCCAAAATATTTTGGTACTTGGAGGTGTATATTAGTGTAGCATTATGCTCAGATGACATACATCTAATGGCTCAAGTGCCTCTATATCTATATCTAAAATTATAAGTAGTTCAGGTGGGGAGCTGTGTCAGCATGCATAGGCTGCAAAGGAACAAGTAACAGGTTTATTCCATGCTGAAATGAGAAGAAAAGAAAAACAATGTTTCGGCTATGTTTTCTTTCTTCTCTTTTCAGCATGGAATAAACCTATTAATTGTTCCTCTAAAATTATAAGGTAGGTAAAGATTAAGGTAAATCTAAAAATGATCAGCCATGACGTAAGAGCCCATTTCAGCAGGGGAAATCTGCAGGAAAGACACAGTTAATGTTGACAAAATGCAAGGAAACCATAAAATGAAGCTCCTGTAATTTGCAATATCCTATGGAGCAGCTTATCACTAATACTGTAACACACAGCCAGGAGCAAATGCGAGCCGGCGATCCCATCACTCATGATTCTCTAATTCTGCATGCGATCACACTGCTGGCACAGGAGGCCATATGGACAACACTCTTCCCATAAGCCACTTCCTGAGGTGGATTATTACCAGTTGATTATCTCTCAAACCTCACCCGGTTGCTCTCTGATAAGGACCATACCCTGCCTCCTCCTCCCTCCCCCCGCCTCTCCCCCTCTGACAGATAAACCATCGAAATCCCTGGGGATACTGCCTTTACTCCTCTCACCCTCGTTCACTCATTCACTGTCAGAGAGCCACTTCATCTTGATAAGGGTCACAGCAGCCCAGGGCCCATGTCAGGAGCACAGAGTGTGAAGCAGGACTACACCCTGGGCAGAAGGCCACCCCAACGTAGGGCACACACGCAATTTGGAGACACCAGTTAACCTAACCTGTATTCGGAAGGTGGGAGGGAACTGGCGCTCCTGAAGAAAACCTACACAAACACAGGGAGTTCGTGCAGATGGACCCCCAGTCCAGAATAAAACCCAGGACAAAAGCTGTCAGTAGCAGTACTAAAGCTCATGCTCTTGTGCCATGCTCTTGTCTGTGTTTTTTTTTACTAAGTTTGGGATTTCTTGGGTCTACCAGAAGTCCGCTTTATCGAACCAAAGTTTGTTTTGTGTGCTCCCTGTATAGATATGGATCTTCTCTTATGAATTTGCCACAGGTACCTTTTGGCCCCGTTTTTTCTTTATGCTGCAAAGCCTTGTTCCTCTTTGTGAGGGCTTTTCAGAGCTGTCTGTGACCCCTCTCAGAGCAGCCATCGCAGCCAGAAACAGCTCACCAGCACACTGACACGGCAGAGGGCTTAGTAGAGGCACACCTTCTCATCCACGAGTACAGGCTGGACACCGAAGAAGGGCCTCATGGCCATGGCGGGCAGAATCTCCGCCCCCTCCTCCGCGGGCCGAGGTGCGATGCAGATCCCTCCTGTCTCTGAGAGAAAACAGCAGGATGACGCCTGTGAGCTCTCCTCCTCCGGCAGCTGGCCACACAGGGAGATTACACTGAGACGAAAACAGTCACTTCTTGCACACTGGAATGGGATATTGAATGACTTTTGTCCTGCTTTACAGAAAAAACAGATATCCATCCATTTACTCTCCACTTTATCCAATACTTGTGGCCATTGCAGGGCAGAATGACGCAAACGCACTCACACCAGAGACAATTAAACTGCCAGCAAGTCTTTGGACTGTCAGAGGAAACCCACACAAACACAGGGAGAACATGCAAACTCCACACAGACAGCACCCCAGGTCTGGAACTGAACCCAGGACCTCGGTGCTGCAAGGCAGCAATGCTGACCACAGCTGCCTGAAAATACATATAACATTTGTAATTCAGAATAAGAGAATTGCTTAGCATAATCTTATCCTAATCTTAATACTAATAACAGATCAGCCCATCTCTGCTGGAATCGTATGAAGAAAGCAAAGGAAAAGCCAAATTTTGCAATTGACTCACTGACCATAGGGTAGCATTCCAAAACAGTGACATTCAAAACTTTGTTAAACAAATGACATTGTGCTTTTCAGTGCTTTTCATGTATACAGTATTCTGCTACTATCGCTTTCGGTAGTTCTTTCAGGCAATTCCTTGCAGGCAAATGGCAAGTTCAACGACCCTGGCAAACAAGTTGCATAGAACTACTATTAACCTTCTGTAACAAGCAACAAAATAATGTGATACGAACTGCAGATTTAACTTATACAGGACAGTGCCTTGCTGCTCTGTTTTGGTAGAGTGTGCAAAGCCTTCATACAGTATTTTACACAGATCATCTTTTAGGAGTAGATCTTGTAGGAGAAGTGTGCTTTTAAAGTTAGAGGAAATAAGGAGTTCAGTTGTAAAACGGGATAAAAGTTAATAAGAATTTACATTTTTTTCCAAAAAATACTGCAATATACTTAGATGTATAGAGGTAATAACATTAAATTACTGACGGAAAAAGGGCACCTCAAAATATTTAACATTGTGATTTAATTTTTGACTTCAGCCAAACTTCTTAGGCATTAGAGAGGCCTGGTGACACAACACACTGGGTGATTCTATGTGAACACTTCAGAAAAAATCTGGAAAGGTTTCATTCAGCTTCTCAGGCCATCTGAAAAGCAATTCAATTTGTAAGTATGCATTAGACATTCTGAAATTTATCAGGCAATTAGGCACCAATGTATAGAGTTACCCTTCTTGTACAGCTCCTAATGACACCAGCATATGGCATCAGATGAGCCAGAATGGATCAATGGCATTTTAAAGGGACAGCCTTTGCATTCTTGTAAAAAGACCTTCATGCGTGTAGGCTTTATGCCTTAAAAATTGTTAATTCATTTGCTATAAACTGTGCAGCTGTTCTTCATGCTAATCATTCTTCTAGTTAAGCCAGTGATAAACAGAGTATCAGACAGAATTAGTGACAATACTGCGCGGACCAGCGCAAAAGCCATGGATCTGACACCAAAAGGTGTTTAACGCATCACGCTGCCTGCTTGCCTTGCTGACACACTGCGTCAATAAATAACCATGTCAGTGCTTGCAGACATTTTTTGCTTTTTTCTGTTTTGTTGTTTGTAACATACAAAACAGGTAAAATACTGTATAAGTCAGGCTCTGTGTGCACTGTCAGTTCCCTGAGTGTTCATATAGCACCTATAATGCCTGCACGTGCAGCACAAGCCATTAGATCAGACCTGCTGTCGGGGTGCAGCAACTCTGAACACCCAGTTTGCACAGCCGAAGCAAGGCTTACTATACCCAAGAGACAGTGCACTTTCTGCAGAGAGCCGCCCGCACATCTCTGCATTTAGAAATTAGTTGGATCCATCAGTGGTGTTTCCACACAGTCCAGCTCTCTGCTTGTTAACGGAATTTAATTTGTATTACTTTTTTGTCACTGACAGGCTGAACAGAGAAGCCCACAAGGAGAAGCCCACAAGGGAACCTGATACAAGTATTCAAAATTCACATTGACAAAGTCAGCCCAGCAGATCTCACCAGAATGAGCACCAACATCATTCAGGGGGCGCAAGTGAAAACTAAGTGGAAGTGCGTTTCAAACCAAGAACAGGAGGCACCTCTTTACCCAGGGAGCAGTGGGAGTGTGGAACAAGCTACCCAGCCACGCTGGATGGGATCCTGGGATCCAATAACTACTCACTACCGAACAGGCTAGATGGGCTTGATGGCCTCCTCTCGTTTGAAACTTTTCTTATGTTCTTATTCCACATCACTTTTCAACTGAACTGAATTACCTTGCACCTATTTTCAGTTTTCCAAGAAACAAGTATTACAGTGTGGTTTTCTCTGAGTGCAATGCAAGATCACCTTGCTACACTGACAAATGAAAAACAAATATTTGATTTATCTGTAGATCTGGTTCCTCATTGACTTTGCATTCCATTTATGTTTTATTCCAGGACATGATAGACATACAAAAAACAGCATGGCTCTGGGTACGCACTGCATGCTTTTATCTACAGCATCCTCTGATGCCGAGCTCGAGCTGATTTGCATATTAACTCTCAACATCAGAGGGCTGAAGCTAAAACAAGACTCAGCGCAGGTCCAAATACAAACATCTCCATCTTCCATGTGCACTGTTTCCCCACTGTGCCACGTGCAGTCGCTGATGATGTCCGCCCGTTCGTCCGGTGACACACTAAGAGGAGGATCGGTGCATTCCTTCGCATGCACGGTTCAGTAGAGGAGCATCTGAGAACACATTACTGGTAAAGCAAGAGGAAAGGGGCACACTTGGAAAAGCAGGTACGATACACACTCGGGTGGCAGAATGAAGGAAGATGGGAGATGTCTGCAAGCGGTTTACCTGTCTGCCACCATGTGTCCACCAGGGGGCACTTCCCATCCCCAACGACATTGTAGAACCACTCCCAGGCTTCGTGATTGATGGGTTCGCCCACTGCAGTGGCACAAGAAACACATTTCTGTCCTGTTCACTACAGCCATTCCTGTCAGTAGTCCGACTATGCGGAACAACATATTTGGCACGACTCACAGGTGGTTTCCCCAAAGCCATTTTGCATCCTGGAAATTACCGGTAGTACCACCCTGCACATTTTTATGTACCCCTTACTTCTGTACTTCACAGCAACTTTTATCCACAAGATCAAAGTCCTCAAAGGCACCGACAACGTCAGCCCAGTGCACATTTTCAGAATACACAGTGAAACAGCAACTAAAGGACACAAGTGGACCCTCCGTGGAAGTGCACTGAAAACTGAGAGCAGGAAGCACTTATTTCTGTAAAGGAATATGGGAATGGGGAACAAGCTTCTAAGCCATGCTGTTGAAGCCAAAACCGAAAGGCCTGCTCGCATCAGTAGCCCTTCCTCAACCAGGTGTGTGCTCATTCCCTCAAGCTGCACCCACCTGAGCCCAGCGTTTTCAAGGAGGATCGGTCGTACTTCTTCACCCAGTTATCCCCATACTTCAGCAGGAGCCTGATGGCTGTGGGGGCTCCATAGAACTGGTTAATCCTTAACCGTTCCACAGTCTCCCAGTACCGGCCTGGAACACAACACACAGCTCCTGTATGTAGCGCCTAGACCTGGGCCTTAAATCTGTGCACATTTTCTCTTCACAGCAGAAGGTTAGAAAGGAGCACAATTTGTGGCTAGTTTCATACACAAATCTCTTATTTTAAATAAAGCGTTACCAGAATTTTCTGAACTCTCATTAACAGTGCCTATACAGTACTTCTAACTCTTAGAAAATAATGATTCAACAGAAATCCAGCAACCTCTTCTCTCCCTTTATGTTATTTACTCTACCTCTCAAATTTATTCCACATTCATTCACACTCTGAGATCCTGGCTTTAAAGACCTGGAAAATGACAGTGAATTTGAATCCCAGAGATTATATATTCTCTTTTTCTCGCTTTTTAATTAATTAAAAGCTTTATCAATAACTTTAAACATATATTTATATCTATTCAAACATAAAATGTTTTAACATACTGTACATAGCCCACTCCTTTGTTTATTACTGGCAAAGTACTGTAACTTTATTAACTGAGATGATGAATAAAACCGGAGAGAACCATTTTAACTTGGGACTTTGAGCATTTCATCAACTACCCATACAAGCTAAACACTCTGCCAGGTTAATGTATATCCAGGAGCTCTTAGTGTCTGACAAACGCAAATACACTGAAAGCAATAATCAGAAAAGGTATTTCTGCACATTCTGTTAAAAGACTTATCTCACCAGGGTCTGGGTATATAGGTGTGCTTTCAAACAACACGGTGGTGGCACCATTGCAAAGTGGGCCATACACCACGTAACTGTGCCCAGTGATCCAGCCTATGTCTGCCACACAGCCGAAGATATCTCCCTCCTGGTAGTCAAATACATACTGAAAGACACAAGAGGAAGGAGCTGGTTTTGCAGGGCTCATTTTCCAGCAGCCAAACAAGAGAAAAGAGAAAGAGAAATACGGTCATACAAAATATATTTTCTGATAGGAGAGTATTTTATGGTGTACACAGTGAGAGGAATCATGTAAAAGCTTCATGATAACTATTTTCATGCATACTAAATTAATTTAGCATTTGATAAAATTATATGATATGTGTGTAGTGCAGCACGGTGGCCTAGCAATCAGATCTGCCGCCTCACAGCTCATGGATCTGGGTACGATTTCAGACTCAGGCACCTTCCAGGGTGCAGTCCAGCTACATACCCTGTACCCCCAGGACAGGCAGGCACTGGGCTGCCCTGGTCCTTACCAGGAAAAAGCAGTTTTCTGATAATAGATGGATATGCAGTACAACACATAAAGTAGATATTTTATATACAAATACTGTACATAGAAACACAAAATGTATTTGAACCCCCAGTTAATATGTATGTACCTGCTATCATAAACCTGTCTGTTAAATGATAATAGAAAATACTGCAAAGTGCCTATAGAAAATAGAGATCATAACTCCTTTTGTTCTTATTACAGAGTATATGTTGATCAGCAGTGTGAGACAAAGTCCATCCAGAGTACAACCTGAGTTCCCATGAGCCATCCAGACCGTTTTTAATCATCAAGCACTTCCAAAGACCCTAAAACAGGATCATCACCCTCCAAAGGTCCACCTGTGGGACTGTTGCAGCACAGCAATAGCTACAGGTACAGTACTAACACAACAGGATAAAAACACAACCCTGAGAAAATCACCAAGAAGCCCTGCAGTGGTGATTTCAACACTCAAAGTCACCGATCCATAAGCGTGCCATTTATATGAAGGTTAACTCCCATTAGTTGAAAAGATAGATGTCTTCTACTGAATCCACCTTAATCTCATTACACACTCATTTAATTCTTTGGAGTTTGATTACCTAATGGGTTACCCAGTTGAAAACTCCTGTTCTAAATGTGGTTACACCAAACAGAATTGATCATGTTCTGTAGTGCCCAGCAGACTTTTCTAGCTTATTCTGAGAAACAACCATGCCAGTTAATTCTCTGAATTTCGTTGGTACTACTTATTTCCCCAACGTAGGTGTATACAACAGAAGCACTTCTTTCCATTTTGTTTGATATTGAATTCTTTCATGGCTTTTTTAGCTCTTTCTTTAATCATAATGCTTTCCTCCTCAACTGCTGTATTCGTCATACTGTCGCCTGTATTGTACTGCATTTCTTATATCAGTGGGTTGCACTGTATCTCTGGATTTATTTAGATCCACACACTAACTGCACAATGCGACGTCATTATAGTTAGATGTAAAACATTTATACTTTACTGTGTACCTTATTTCTTGTTTTTTTATTATGGAATGCCTTGCTTAGAAATTGTACATAAAACCGAAGCGTGTAATCTGCTGTAGATACAGTACATACTGTACAAATGGCAACATTTCACCACCTAACATGAAGCATTGCTGCGATTCATATATGCGCAACTGATTTATTCCTTTTGTTCCACTGACAATAAGATTCCGTGACAGGGTGTTACAGTAATGTATGTGGATTATGCCAAACAAGCAAACTCTTTTCTTTCTCTGAGCGAACTGGCATACCTCAGAGTTTCTCTGGCCGTGTTCCATGAAGGCGGTTGGTTTGTTTTCATTAAAGCCCATTTTGCCTGTTGTTTAATTTTAAACAAACTCCGTGCCAAAACGAGACACTGCCAGCCAAGGTTTGTCGTTTTGCCTCTGTGGAACAGGAGATCCCTCCAAAATGTGTCTCGCATTTAATTTTGATTACCGATACACAGACTGTCAATATGGCTGAGAAATCCCAAAATCCAGAAATGGCTTTGTTCTGTCAGTAACTGTGACTCTGTTGGTTACTATGCCAAACTGTGTGACACTCCCTCAGAAAATGCAGACCAGAGCTGGGGTTAGGTCAAGACTAAGAGCTCTAAAAGTGGAAAGGAAACAATAATGAATTTAAAAGAAAGGTTAACAGTTAGACCTTTAAGAATTTTGTTTTATTAAATGGTTAGCATTGCTGTCTTGAAACAATGGGGCCCTGGGTTCAATTTTGGACATGGGGCGCTATCTGAGTGGAATTTATCTGTTTTCCCTGCGCACTTTAGAAAGTCGGAGCACGTCTAGCACAGAAAAGTGTCATTTTTGTTGAATTATAAATAACATATAAACATCTTGTGTGGTACAATGGTGCACTGATTGGCATTCCTGCCTCACAGCGATGGGGCTCTGGGTTTAATTCCAGATCTGGGGTACTATCTGTGTGGAGTTTGCATGTTCTCCAATATTCATATTGTTTCCTCCTGGTGTTCCAGTCTCCTCCCATAGTCCACAGACATACTGGTAGGTTAATTGCCTTCTTTTAAAAAAGTGGCCTTGATGTGAGTGTTTGTGTCTGTGTGTCTGCCGTGTAACTCCCTCTAACGCTGGGCTAGACAGGTAGCGTGCAGCCATTTTCATTTCATTCCAGATAATTTGGATAATTCATAGCTAGGCGGCCAGAATCATGAGGAGCTCTGGTGCAGGGCCAGGAGCACCTCGATGACAGCAGGATATCAGAGGCTTGACTGTGACCACAGGGGAGGTAACAGCCATTCTGACGCCTTCCAGCCCACCCGTGAAAGCAAGTGGCCCCAGGCTCTGTGTACTGGCATCGCCATCATGCAGCAAGAGGCTCGGTGTTGCACTTGATTGTTTAGGTGGTTTTGTTAACTTGCAAGGCAGCGGCTTCTATCAGGCGTTAACAGCTGGGTATTTAAGAGACAGAGTACCTCATGCTGTACAGCAGTAGGTAAAGGAACACAAAGCAACACACAAACTCAGTTACCCTGAAACCGAGTGTGTGCCAGTGAGGGGGAGTTTAGGGGGGTGTCTCTTGTTTTATGGTTGATTGATGTGCTTTTGTAGGCTGTTTAACAACTTCAAAGCGGAACAACTGTCCTGTACTGTATATCTGCCTGCAGTCTCTGCTGTTTAAGGATGACGTTCTGAATGAAAAACTGACAGGAAGGTACCGAGCTCGTAGAGAAACAGGAGCTGTACAAGACAGCTGTAATGAGTTACCTGGTGTGTCAGGGCAGCATACAGCAGATAGCCGGCCTGGGTGTGAACAATTCCTTTGGGCTTGCCTGTGCTTCCAGAGGTGTACAGCAGGAAGAGCATGTCTTCACTGTCCAGGGCCTCAGGCGGACACTCAGGCAGCTCCTTAGCCATTTCCTTTAAAGGGACAAATATAGATGTAAGGCGACACATAAACACCATATTCTAGTACTACTCAATACAAACGGAAATCCACATTGTCATAATCATCTAATTCACATGTGGGTACAGATACTGAGGACGTGCATCAGCACAGCTGATGTGCAGTACTGTGCTTTGCTTCTTTTGTTCCCTTATCATTATGTGCCTGATGTCTCCCTCTTCTCTATATTGAAAAGGGACTCCCTTTTCTCCAGTCAAGTTTAAGTTATCAAGGGAGAAGGGTACAGGAAAGAGACAGAAAGGCCTCTCGATTAAAGGATTTCTGTGAGGGGGAAACAGAATCTGGTCGTGAAGTTCCTCAGTTAGACCCTTCAGTTACCTCCTCAAGCGGTATGTCGAGGTTGCCCATTGGGACCTTGGCATCTGTCCTCTGGGCCACAAACACATGTCTGACTGTGGGGCAGCTCTTCACAGCTGTATCCACTGTCTTCTTCAGCTCTACCACACGGCCACCTCTCAGGCCCTGGTTACAGGTAATGACAGCCTTGCACTGAGCTGGAACACACAGATACATGTAGACCCACTTACAACGTGCTGTTGACTTGTGCAATTCGCCTCATGTCTTGAGGGAAATACAGGGTGATCTTTAGGATTGTGTCTATCGGATAAAACTGGCAGATTTGGCTTTTACATGAAAAGCAGTGGCCTGCTTTATCAGCCACAAAAACACAAGGTTCAGGAATCCAGCTCAGAATTGGAGCACATTGTATATGTCACTAATACTCTAAAGAGTGTGTATCTACAGATGCCTTCAGCTGCCAGGTTTTAAATTCAGGTTGGGCAGGAAATATTATCAGGAGTGTACAACACCCTTTATAAAACATCAGATGACAGTTTATCATCTGGAACTTCCTGGAGGCCTTACAAATTAACCTACCCCTTTTCTAGTCAAAACAGGTTGCCTGCATTTGCATTTTGACAGACAATGATTGTCATTTGAATTAGTTTAATAACTTGGAAAAAACAGCTAAGTCCTGTTACGGCTCATCCGCTAATTCACTCTTTAGATGGCAATTCTGCCACTGATGTTTTCAAGTCTTCTGGATGTCAAGATGTAACACACATGTTTATGGGGTGCTCAGTCGTCCACTCACGTGTGGTGTTTAGGTACTGGTGAGTGGCAATGTGTACAAAATAAGAGTGCCCTTGAGTTCCCAGTCATGAGTTACACAGTATCATGTGACCTATAGTAGAGTACAGGACGGGTGGGTCTGCTTACAGAGCCATGAAAATCACAAGACCTTTTGGTTTCATAAAACACAGAGCTGAATAACTTTTCAAGCCAAAAAAAAAAGTATTAATAAAAAACTATAAAACACACAATCACAGGGGAAGACTTACAGTCTATTTTTCAAATAAAATTCAGTTCCGAGGCAGAAGCACAATAAAAAAAGAGGGAAAAAAAAGACACCCCAGCATAAAAAAGCCCAGAGACCTTTGCTTCTTTTGCTCTCCGTTATTCACTTGAAGACATGTTCATGAGGTAAATAAGTCAGTTCACAGTAACCATGTCAGCGCTTTCATGACAACTGGAAAAAAGAGCCTTATTTCAAATAAGCCCTCAACATATTCAGCAGCTGAGTGCCTTTGTTTGTGGTACAACAGACCGCGTGTGCTTGTGACAATATGCTTCTCTCGTTTCACCAGCTCGAGCTAACTAATCCACCTACCATCCTGGATTCTTCCGGCCAGAGCTTCCGCGCTGAAGCCAGCGAAGACCACCATGTGCGCTGCGCCTATCCTGGCACATGCCAGCATCGCGGCCACAGCCAGAGGCGAAACTGGCATATAGATGGCAACTCTGTCCCCTCTCTGCACCCCATATCTCTTCAAAGTGTTGGCCAGTTGGCAGGTTATCCCCAGAAGTTCCCTGCAGGACACGGGCTCATTAAGGGGTATAGAGCAGCTACAGTATAAAGCAAACACTTGTTCTATCAAAACACATTTATATTATGTCACAAGCGCACACAAAGAGTTTTTATTTAATTCACAGAACCTTTCAGTGCAGGACAAACACTCTTCCCAAGCATATCTACAAAATACTCCTTTGCTAATACACTGCCAATGCAATGTCATGTTTACATTCCTCCTTAAAAAGTGGGACAACAGTAAGCCAGTCTCACATTTAATGCACACAGATTTACTGAAACAATAGTTTGAATCCAAGTAGATGATTGTCCCTATCTGAATAATACTAAGTGTTAGCCTGCATTTGTTCAGGGCTGGGTCTTGTTTAAGTAGCGCATGACAATTTCTCGCACAAGCAACAGTGGAAATGGGCACAAGTGGAGTCTATTACAGTTTATGGTGTGTTTAGATTTCCAGAGGACTCTGACACTGAACTCCGTGGGAATCCAAGGTGCTCTATGAATTGAGAACTGCTTAGAACACAGAACAACCAGAAGGATAGTAAAGAGGCAAGATGTCAGGTTGGGTGAGGTAATTAGGGGAATTCCACACCGAAAAGATCTGTTTAAGGTTTACTGCACATTTTGCTTTACATCATTCTGGTTTCATACGGATACAATAACCTGGGTAGAGCTGTAGAGCGTACAAAAATAGGAGGGTGCCAAGTTAATGTGTTGTAAAACCACCATAAGAGTAACAAAGCATTCAGGATTGATTCGACACCTGGTGCATAACATTAAATAAACGGTAGGTCAATGATAAGTGTTATATTCAGGGAGTAATGTCCATTTTACATATAAGGGTATCTTCAAGAGGCCACTTATAGAAAGAATCCAGGTGTTTACATGAGCCTGTCGGTGTCCTTATCCTATAGATCTGTGGGTCTCCGTTCTGGTCCTGGGGTGTCTCTGGTGTTTTTAGCTGCACCTGGATTCTTCTGTATTTGTAAATTTTCTGCCCTCAGTCCATGGCTTCACAAATACCCTAGTTACAGTGTGTTACATCCATCCATTTTCGAACGGCATCATCCAATGAGGGGGAGCCGGAGCCTAGCCCAGCAAGCAACGGCCTCACAGACACTCAGACTTACACCAGAGTCAGCTTTCCCAGAAGCCAGTTCACTTACCAGCACATCTTTAGACTGTGAGAGGAAATCAGAGCACCCAGAGGAAACCCAAGCAAACACCTGGAGAACATGCAAACGCCACATAAACAGCACCCCACGTCTGGAATTGAATCCAGAACCCCAGCACTGCAACCATCGTGCCACCCTGCCGCCTACGCAAGTCTTCTTATTTCCAACATTTTCAGCACACAGAAATTGAATTGCTCATTAAAAATTTCCTTCCTTATTTCTGATTATGACTTCGTAACAGGTGATCTCACAATGACTCAGACACAAGACTGCCCTCATTCCAGTGTGCTGCCCTGAAATATAACTAAATAGACCAAAGATTTTTGCTTTGCTCAAGTTCATCTAGCTATTTTTCAGCCAGCGCACCTGAATGAGGGAAGTCCTGAAACCCAGTAATTAGCAGTGTTCATATCAATTACAAACCCTACTCAGCTTTTTAAGGGGTGAAATGCAAAAAAAGGCTTCAAATATAAAACCACAATAAATTAGTTTGAGATTAAGAACTCGGGTAGCGCAAGTCACAGGTTTTCCAAGACCAGGACTGAGGACAGCTGCTCTAAGCAATATGAAGAAAAAATGAAACAGGAACAGAAAATGTCAGCAGTAACAAAGTTTTATCATGATGAGGCCTGGGGGCCTGTCTGACACCTAATATCAGCGTGGGCCACGGTCTCATTTTGCATGGACTTCCACATGGAGGAAAATACCTCACACAGAAATCCTAATTTCCACTAGGAGTGTGTAAGAGGCACTTCGAAAGGTGAGCCTCAGTTGGACCCTAGACTGAGTAGAAGCAGGAAAGAACCCTGATACCAACAGAGGCCCATGTCAGCAACAGAAAGACCCATCCTTACACCCCTTCATTCAGCCTCTGCACGTTCTCAGATGGGGATCTACTAACAGGATCACCATGAGGGGATTCAGAAATACCAGTTACTGTTTTACTTCTCCTCCTCTGAGCACACAGACAGAGACATGTTTAGCAAATGCAGCTGTCAGATCTTCCAGAACACAGAGCAAAGGATGATCTGGTGTGATAAACCTTCTGTTTGCACAGTCATCTACTGTATCTCAGTGGTAGGATGAGATAACTACGCAGAAAGGCAGTCCTCTCAAAGCTGCTATCCAGAGGAGTCTACAGCTATGCACAAATGTCCTTTCTTTAGGATTTTGCCTTTATTTGCAAGTTGGTTAATGCTAAATTAACTGTAAATGAAAGCTCTCATAAGCTCTGTTATTTTGTGGCTCATTCTGTTGAAACAGCTAATTGAGCAGCTTAACGTTTTTTTTTAAGCAATGTTGCCAGCAATGTTATGACACTCCTGTCAAAACATAACAGTATGATGTAGTAAAGTACAGTAAAAGTGTAGCCAGCACACAGTGATACTAAGGTATGATAAAGCACAGTACAGGAACTATAGTGAAATGAATTAACTGCAAGGTTTAACTCTGATAAAATAAAGGAACAACTGTAAAAACATTGTAATCAAATGTGAAATCTCTACAAAAAAGCAAGATCACTAACTTTGTAGTAGGCATCTCTTGAAAGATCTGATTAAAGATGTTTAACAGCTACAATGAAATGTCCTTTAACTAAACTTTCACTGTCATGTACCCTGACAGTTTCCTGCTTTGATTCTCTTCCTGTGTTAAACATATGAGACTCAGCAGGCCTTAGCTTAGACTGAAGGCTTCTCTTTCACTCTGTTCACATCATCGTCAAAGAAGTTAAAAAACTCGTGTAGGGTAATAGAAACAGATTTTTGGGTCTGTTCAACATCCGTACAGAGTATTAATATTGTTTATGTCATGATGATACAGGATGATGGTGTTTGCTCATCAGCTGTTCTTTGGATATTTTAGATACAACACTGTAGTCTTACCCATGTCTTTAAATTATGTGTTAAGTAAATGCGCAGGTCATCTGTAGAAAAAAGGTGAAATGTTGCATATTAAGAGAAAAAACATGTACTTCTGTCTGAGATAAATACTGAGTCATTGTGAAACATATTAGAAAGAGGAACCTTGGGTATCCCTTTCAAACACAAATTAACCCTTGAAGTCCTGTTTTGTTATCATATATTACATTGAGGGCAGCACGGTGGTGCAGCTGTGAGCAATGCTGCTTTGCAGTGCTGGGGCCCTGGGTTCAGTTCCTGGCTCAGGGTGCTGTCTGTGTGGAGTTTGCATGTTCCCCCCTATGTTCATGTGGTTTTCCTCCAGTTGCTCTGCTTTCCTTCCATACTCAAAGACATACTGGTAGGTTAATGGACTTAAGGGAAAAGTGGCCCTGGTGTGACTGTGCTGGTGAAGGACTGATGTCATGTCCAGGGTCTATATTGCCTTGTGCCTGTTGTTTACTCCCTCGTGACCCTGAATTGGATGAAGTGGTTAGAAAACAAATGGATATTAACTTGACTTGAAAATATAAGTAATACTTTCCATGTAGCATCCCCTTCCACAGGACAAAAGGCAAAAATGCAGTTTGTGCATTTTCTATATGTTAAAATAGAAATTTCAGCCAAACTTGTTATCGCAAATCTTAGACAGATGTGGCCCAGACACCTACCTGTAGGTAATTTTCAGTTCGGTGCCGGGCTCATCTCTCTCCCAGATCAAAGCCACTCTGTCAGGACTCGTCTGGGCATGCGGGTCCAAACAGTTGACTGAAAGTCAATATGGTTTCATTAGAGAGAATAACAGAGCAATGCAAGTTATTCTTCATAGTAAGTTCTTTAATATTTCTGTGTTTTGAAAGAATTAGACGTACAATTTGTTCCTGTCTACCGCTTTTTACAAACAAAAGGCGGGGACTAGCGAGGAAGGCGCAGTTCACGATACCAGAGAGCAGTGCAAGTTAACAGCGACTCGGATATTTCTACAGTAAAAGCGGCCACATAAAAGCTGCAAAACGTAGATTAGTAATTACCGAGCATTCTGATAAGTGCTGCTTAATTGTAGCAGTTCTTATGTATATCCCCCACACGTTTTCACAGCGCGCCCTTTTAGTGTTAAGCGATTTATGTGTCAACAAGCCCATACCTGCCACAAACTCGAATAACGCTGACTTTCAGGTGAAAATGTCTAGAATGTGTATTAAGGATTAAAAGGAGGCAAACGTCTTCGTATAACTTCGAAGAATTAAAGTTCTACAAACAGGCGACGATAAAAAATTAGTACTATTGCTAAAGTTTCAGAGGTACTGTATTATTTTAAATCATACTGCTTTTTTACAAAGACGTTACTGCGAATTATTTCAAGTACATTAAGAGGACAGACTTATCAATAAAGATTTGCTCAAAGCTAAATGTTTTACGATGTTATACCCCACTGCGTTAGGCGAATTCATGTGGATCTTGATGATCTGTAACAAAGATTTTGTGACCGTTTATACAAATAAGATCCCTTACCAGAAACATTGAGCTGTCCTTCAAGAAACCAACTGATTCTGCCCTGCGTGATATCGCAGTCTGAAACCCGACTGAAAGGCTTGCTCCAGTGTAACTTTTCTTTTGCAACAGATCTCCAGAAAGTTTCCGGATCTTTCACTGATAGTTCATACAGCTCTTTATATGATCTCGCTCCAGCTAATGAACTTATATCTGGCTTTAATGAATTAATCTTCCTGCTAGAGACATTGGAGTGAGTCTGCCTGGAGCACTGCAGCGGCACCGAAAAGGCGAAATAACCTCTGCTGCAGCCAGTGACACCATTCTTCAAGGAAATGCCTCTCTTGCAAAGCAAATACCACAGACTTCTGCACTTATTTGCCGCCATGTTTCCATCTGCTTTTCTTGCCAAGAAGTCTCTTCAGGTGGCAGCGGGATGGGTGGGGACAACTTGTGCCCCAAAGTCTGAGACAGACATCAGCCACTATCTTTAACCCTTTAATTTCAAGGTCCGTTTAAGAGCACAGCGGTCCAGACAAAACCCACCTTCGACTTTAAATTAAATGTCTTTTAGGTTATAAGAAATCTGTAATGATTATGACGCCTTAATTAAGAGCAAGTGTATTTCGGTGCATGTAATTGTAACGGTAAACTAAGATGTTGCAGGACAGCAAGTCTGTGGCAATCTGTTGTTGCTTTAAAATAAGTATTCTATTGTTTTATAGTATTTTTAAACACAAAGGGAACAATAGTGAATTTTATATAGGATGCAGAAATTCTGTAGCACCTTCTCTAAGAAAAACGTGTGTATTTTATAGAACAATACATTAATTTTCACAATATTTTCTGAACTTGGTCCGACTTTGTAGGTGTCTTCAAGCAAATTGCAATTATTTCATTTTTGTGAAAGTATTATAGAAAAGTAATTTTGCAGGAAAGTAATTTGTTAAGAAAAATATTATGAAAATTATATGTATTGAGTTTTAACCTTTTAAATAACAGATTTAAAAAGTGGATACATAATTCTTTAGTCATTTTTATGACAAATACAAATCTACATTTCTCTCATGCACCTAAACCTTTGCATTTAGATGCTGACACGAAAGTGTTCTCCAAATTTAAGCTCTGATTTTTATATTTCCTGGAAGACTATAAGCTGTTATATTTATTGAATCCACAAGCATGTTACACCCTTACTGATACAAGTGCTCCAAATGTATTTCACTATCTCATAGTTTTACAAGAATGCTTTTAAGCAGCTACTTTATAAAAGACCGTAATACTGTTTTAATGTTTACATACAGGAGCCCACAGCCCATCTCACTTGTTTGCTACTAGCTACACATTAGCAGTCATTTGATTTCATCCAGTTTTGATTTCTCGAAAGAAGCCAGGGTATCAGTTTCAGCAACACAGCAGGGTAATTTGATCCATTCTCCTAAAACTTTTAGCATAAAGAAGTGTCTCCTGTTCTTCGTTTTAACTTTCCATGTAGTTTTCTCTTGTGCCCTATAAATCATGTTAAAGTATTGATTGTGAAAAGCTCGTTAGGTAGACTTTGTCAGTGCCTTTGAGGCTTGAATCAGGTCTCCTGGCAGCCCAGTCTGATCTAAACAGAAAAGATTCAGTTCTTGTAGCCTGTCAGTGTTGGACATTCCCCTAAGCACTAGAACGTATCTGGTTGCTCTACTCTGGACAGATTCCAGAAAAGCAAAATCAATTTTTGTAAGGTGGTTACCAAGATGTTCTTAGTGTAGTTTTATTGGCGCATTGTGCAATTTTAACATTGTATATTGATATAAATTTTACACACTTTTCTATATATTATTTATATCTCATCTATATATTATGTCATTTTGCTTTCCTTTTTTAATGCTTCTCCATATTGTCTAAATCAGTGGTTCACACACCCCTGGGGTGCTAGATGCCCTTTATAGGGTGCGAGACAGGCCAGATGCTTTTAGATCATTAAAATCATTGAAAGCACCAATCAACCCCAGCCATGTAAGCACAACTACTTTTTAATGTATTCTTAATTTTACTGTGAAATTAAAATATATACCTCATAAGGGCAGCACAATGGTGCTGCCTCTTTATGCTGGGGCCCTGGGTTCAATTCCTGACTCGGGGTGCTGTCTGTGTGGAGTTTGCATGTCAATCCCTGTGTTTGCATGGGTTTCCTACCACAGTCCAAAAACATACTTGGTGGTTAAGTGGCTTGTGGTTTGTGTCTGTGTCTGTGCGTTCCCAGTGACAGACTGGCGCCCTGTCCAAGGTGTGGCCTGCCTTGTGCCTGATGCTTGCAGGAATATTCTCTGGCTCCCCCCACAACCCTGAACTGAAAGAAGCAGTAAGCAAATGGGTAGATGAAATAATTCTAAAACAATTCAATGTATTCTTTATTGGACTCTAAAATGTATAGATAGATAGATACATTCATTCTATCTCGTTTATTCTATGGTTATGGCACGTCTTAAGTTTCAAGAACTGACCTTCTTCAACCCCTTTTCGATCAGGGGTGCAAGAACATATTTGGAGAACCGAACTGGTGCAGGTTGCAGTAAAAGTCCAGAACCACCAGTCTAAATGACGAGTCCGCATAAATACTCAAGTCTTTTTTACAAATAACCTCTTCAAGCTCGGTTTTTCCGATTTTATATCTATACCGTAGCTTCTGTTTTTGCCACCCGTATGTAATACTGCACCATTTGTTTCCATTAAACGTAATCTTCCGGGTGTTTGCCCAGTCTTATCAAAATTGATAAAATTGAGAGTCATGAGTCACGATAATGTGAGAAGAGTGAGTTTACTTATATGAGCAAAAGCAAGTTGAGGCTCAACATTGGAGAGAAAAACTGATAAGAGAATTAAATGCATTAATATTTTTAGTAACTCTCCTTAACCCCGCTTGCTTCACGGTGATTTAGGTTTCGGAACAATGCGGCAGTGGGAGGAGCATCGGTCAGAGTCGACACCCAGTCTGAGAGGGTGAAGGCACCGCTGTGAGGCCAGCGAGAGCCGACATAAAAGGAAAGAAAAAAAAAGAACTCAGATTGTCTTGGTGGGAGACAAACAGCGGGACAGGAGAAAAGGAAGAGAAAATAATATTAAGGAAAAATACGTCCTTAGCACTCTCGTCACAATCCCCTCCGGGGGTCCGCTCGTCACTCCGGTAGGGGCTCAGTGTGTCTTAAAGGGCCCCACAGCCGCGGCTCGTCTCTCATCAGCCGGGACAGCTGTGGACAGCTGTGGTTCCTAAGGAAACGCGTCTCCCTTAACCCAGGGCTCCGCCTCCACACTGAACATGACCCCCGCGTTTTGCCACAGTTATTTTTCCATACTCGTCTCACTAGAGACGAGGGAAGTGCTGTTTTTGATCCAATTGATCATTTCACTGTGCTGCTGTAGGTGTTACAAGTTCTGTGTTGTCAGTTTAAATTGTTTTAAACTCAAAGGCAGCAGTTTGCAAAAATTTGGAAATGTTCTTCACCAACCAATTTACGTTTTTGTACTCTTGGTCTCTGGGGTCATACTGAATCACCTCTGTGTCCTTGTTGAGATGACACTTTCTCAGTCGGATCACAGCAGGGCTGTTCTGAGTCTGCATGGATCTTCTTTAACTTCTTTACTTCTTTGAGCCAGATTGGGCTGTAAGAATCCTCTCTTACAGTCTTTAGGGTACTAACTATTCTTTTCTTGTTTGGATCTAATTCTCATTTTTCTGATCTTCAAGCAGGAGACTCTATACTTGTTTCCCTGCTACTACCCTGTTTTTCTTTCTCTGGGCTGATGTTACAGTCCCAGGGAGGAGAGGGCAGGAGTAACCAGCATGTTAAGTAAGACAGGGCATTAGCATTCCCACAAGAGACACCTTTTCTGTGCTCCGTGTAACATGAGAAACCAGCATTTTCATCTTTGCTCTACATTTGTTTATCCACCTCATGTGGGTGGGTATGGTGAGGGAGCGGTAAGGAATTCTCTCTCCAATGGGTGACAGTGCACAGATTTAATGGCACACCTTGAGATTATCAGCATGCACCCATGGCTCTACAGCAGACCCTATGGAAAAGGTCCTATGAGGTCCATGGTGATCTGTCCAAATAGCTCTACCATGAAGGGGAAGAGGGTAGAGTGGAGTTCTCAGTCAGGACTTAGGGCTAATTAGCTGGCAAATTAGACAGCACTGTTTCACTTGCACATACCACCACAACACCTTATCCTACATTTATCTCTTCCTCAACGCCCTCCAAATAGTTATCTATACGCATACTTCATTAACCAATTTCAGTGTTTTTGAGGAATAAGCAATGAATCTCCTTCCTTTCCATTTACTCTATATTGGAGACCATTTTTTGTCATGAATGAAGCGGCCGTCTTTGTCTGGCCTTCCACAGGAACAACATTTAGTTCAACCACTTGGACTCAGGTGTGGCAAAGGGAAGGCTCCTACTGCTGATTCCAGATCAAAAAGCTCAACTAGGTCCCAGTTTCCCAAGGTCCGGCTGGAGAAGTGGTAGGAAATGGATCCGAAGAGGGAGCCTCAGAAAAGAAGGAAGGCTCTTGAAGTTGTGGGAGATGTTCTGTTGGTCTACATGGACACTCTCGTCATGCTTGTTAATGGAAATTCTCCCCACGGTCCAGGAAACATGCCATTGAAGGCCTTGTTTACACTTTATTCATTTTTTTCACACATACTATTGTAATCCATTGTATGGGGTGTTATGATGTGGAAAATGCCCGTCTGTATGACGGGCTGGGGAACCCACTCGTTAGGCAAGCTGACACACCAGAGCTGGGAATGCGCTGGGGTGACTAACAGGGCAGGGGATGAGCTGGGCAGGCGGACTGAGTGCAGACAGACCAGGGAAAGCTCGGTGCAGCTGGGTAGATCACAACAGGGACACTGCTCAGCCTAGCAGGTCAGGTTAGTTGCTAAGGATGCCACCCGTGAACACACACTGTAGCAACAAGGAGGCAAACTGGGATCTGGCTGGCTGTCCGGTTCTGTCTCAGAATCTGGATCAAGGAGTCTGATTGAGGTGGAGTACTAAAAGCATAACTGGCAGGCTGGTTCCTACCATATACTGGTAGGAAGCTCAATGACAGAGTGTCTGACTGTGGACATGGCAGGGCTTATGTAACCAGAGGAAATGACCCATTAAGGGCAGCAGGTGGTATGGACAGCCTCCCCAGTCACATTCGCACTATACCAGGAGGTGTGCGAGTATGGCAGGTTGCCTTGGAGACTGTGAGCCCTGCCTCGCCCAGACATAACCCAGGGTGTATCATCTTCTCTTCTTCTGTGTCTTTGTTTTCTGCCTCTGGTCACATTACTCCAGCCTTAGCTTGTGTACACTGGTTTTTAGATACACCTTTACTGCCATTCTTTTAATTT